TGTAGATTTACATACAGAATTACATACTGATTCATGGATCATTGTTTATGTGTTCAATCAATTTAGTAGCCATCAAACTTGTTCGGAAATTATTAATGACGTTGATATACATGTGTTCTAAATTATTTAATACCTTCGAAAATTGCTTTGCCTTTTCGGTGTATTTGTAACCGTTTGTTCTAAACGACAAATTTGTAAAAAAAAAAAATCTGTAAGTATTGAAACATTTTTTGGAACATATTTTTAATTAAAGCTTTATTTTATTCAACTGGTGGGTGAGATCAAGGACATTTATAACGAATGACATTTAAATTTCACAGCTTTACAATGATACATGGAACAAAACAGTGTTTAATTCACGCCAGAATCAAAATCCTCACAGATGTGTCTGTGATTCAGGCAGCTTATATCATCATTTTACCATCGATCTAAACTCATATACTTCAGATTCTGTTAAATCAAACAGGTCATAAAGTACAATAAAATATCTACTCGGATTTATCTTGAATTCCTATCCCCTGGCCTGTAGATCACATGTACATACCCAGGGTTTTCGGCTTTGGTGCCAAGACCCATAGGTATTGATCATAGATGTAGTACATTTGATATACTGAGTGTTTTATCGGATTAGGACAATGGTCTGTTCAGACATACTTGGAGTGGAGACACACTCGATACCGTCCAGCTGTATGACAGTTTCAATAGAATCTATAAGAAATAACGGGTCAACTTGTTCTTCCCGCCGCCGAGCGACCGTTTTCGCTGTGACCTAATTTGATTATGAAATCTAGTAGGGACTGATACACAACCTACATTTGTATCACTGTTTTTTTTTCTCACAGACTGTACGCCTCTTTGTGACTATGAGACATCTGATTCAATTTCAATATGTTTTTGATAAAAAAAAAATATACATCATACATAAGTTGATGTTTATTGAGCTCTGAATTTGAAATAATCCTAAACTCAAGAGATAGAGTTTGTACCATGACAAAGGAAAACGTGACACACCTGACTTTTTATTAAATGAAGCAAACATTAAACGATTCCGCCGAAAGGAACAACGGATACAATATATATGACTTACCAACGACAAGGGGAGGGTATTCGAAGGCGCCAAGATACAATTAATGGCGTTTAGCCGAAAGTGGAAAGAAACAGGGAATTGCTAGCATTTATATAGAATTTTTCTATTCAATTTTAGTTTCGTAAATATACCCATGAGTGTGTAGGCGATCCATCACCATTGAATCGCGTTTCTAACAAAAAATTGTCATGGCCACTTCACAAATATTCTGTGGAAACTGATGGGTCGTTTACACAGTCACTCCGTGTTTATCGAGATGTGACGTTAGTCAATGACCAGGATACAAAGATAGTCAACTGTGGTTTGATAAGCGGATGCAGGCCATTAGTGATCCAAGGTCAAATTCCACGTTCGTTGTGCAGACAACTTGTTAATCGATATATCGCAACTGCCGTATGCCATATGGGGTGAGCTATTTTACAATAGTATTCTGTGCATTTGTTAATATTAGCGGGGATTTCATTTTGTTATATTCACGGTCACGCGGAACTACCCAGCAAAGATTTGACATAAATAAAAAAAAACGTAACGCAATCTATGGTATACACCTGTGGACAAGGATGCCGATATAACTATAGACATGCGCGAAATTTGATAACCATAAATAGACCGAACTGGGACGAGCGCGAAATATTAGTCCCGCAAAATAGAAAAACAATACAGAATTTAGGGAGGAACAAAGATTGGTTATCTTGAAGTAGCTTTAATGTTTACACGTACGATCGGAATAAACAGCCAAGACAGTAATATTCTTTTTTATTTTTTATTCTATCAGGTGTTTCTTCTCAATAAAAGTGATCAATTTTGGCTTTGACGATACTTTTGTTTTTGGTTTTACTTTTGTTAAAGCAGTCTTGTACCTTGTGTCTTGCAGCACGTGGTAGAGCGTCACTTAACGACAACTCTTCAACATGTCATTATCGTTGACATGATGTTTTATTCTCTGACTTCAATTCTCATTAGAGCGTTGATAAGATAGAAAGATATGACCTCTAATGTAAATGTATAGTCAACTGATGAAAATGGGTCAAGTTTTTTACTGCGATAGAGGTCATACACACTTTCTATTGTGTTTCGTTTCCAATTCTTGTGTATAAAATTTCGTGCTTGAATAATGCATGCCCGTAATGACCGGAAAGTGACACGTGTGAGGATTGGAGAACGTAAATATATTGATGTTCATTAGTTTGCCTGCTGTTTCCGTTGTTGTATATCAAGTTCTCGTTTGAGAACGTGACATTACTTTCTTGGATTGACTAAGATGTACATGGTGGATGTCGTCAATAAAGCAGCAAACGCTTACTCTTTCAGAACACCTGGTCTTATACTCCTAGAACTTTTTTTCTTGGGTCGACGTGTAAATCTCTCTTTTGTTTTTCTTTTGATCTCGTTTTATTTAATTTTAGTTTGGATTGTGTTGACATGCTTATATGTTTTTTGTTTTGTTTTCCATTTAGAAATACACAACAGTTTTCCGAAGATAATAACAATAGGTCTGCCTGGTTCTGTCGATATGTGTTTCAATGTTAACCAGAGCAAAAACATTAGGAATATGAACGACAGTTGATAGAAACACTGAATAACATGCAATTGACTTGTTTAACCACGAATTTGTTTTATCAAACATATAACATTTATGTGATATAATGTCAAAAGAAATAATAAAAAAAAACTCGTTTAGCCTTCAAAGATATAGCTGTCACTTTAAACAATATCCAAAATTGAAAACCTTATACCATTTTATCGTCAAAAACATAACATTCGCATGATACAATGTCCATAACTGACGAACGATCCACCGTTATAAGCATCCGTTTGTCAGTCTGATGGTGGTATGAAGGTTAGGGGTGTTTAATGTCTGACACTTTTGGTCTAACCATTCCTGAAATGTTAATATTGGTCAGAATATATACATGTTATTAATCAGTAGCCGACTAAACGAAAGGCATTCTCCAATATCAATGACAAAAGCCATCTATTAGTCCGCCATTACCGTTTCAACTTTCGCTCCTAAGAGATAAAATGGTATAATTCTACGTCTCTGGTATTTTCGGGATGAGCTATATATAGCACCATCCACCTCATAATTATCACCTATGTGTTATTTCATTTAATTGATTCAATACATCGACGCCTTGTCCGCGATTTTCCATTCATCTATTCAAAAATGTTCGAACCTTCGCAACTCATCAGTGCTAAATCTTTTTTCTGTAGGTGATGACTAATTCCAATTCTATTTAGAGAAGAAAACTTTATCTAGAATACAAAACTGATTCCCCTTGCCCCTCCTTACTATTCTCGGGAGAGCGAGAGGCACCATTGTTAATCGGTGCTTTGGGCAACATCATCAGCAAAGCACAATGCATAAATAAAACAATGGTGCCTTTTTGTTACGTCAGCAATTTGAATTCTTCAAACAAAGACTGTAAGCAGGGGATGGTTAAGGCATGGTGTTGTTTTCATTGTCACTTTAAAGGAAAGGGTAATTTCCACCCTTTCCGAAAAATAAAAACACTAATGATACATTCCCAACGCATAGATTATAGGTTAACACAAGGTGTGTGATTGCCTTTTGTATTATATTCTTAATTGTTGCAAGAAAAGAAAACCTCTTCAAATCGTAAAGATACATCCTTACACGCGATCACTTCAATAAGAATTACATCAATTTGTGTGCAAAGATGAATCCCGCGATTGTCCTTATATCATTAGAATCACTGATGAGTCTTAGAAGGACGAAACAGATGTATGGTGTAGCATCACTGATGAGTCTTAGAAGGTCGAATCAGATGTATGATGTAGCATCAGTGATGAGTCTTAGAAGGACGAAACATATGTATGATGTAGCATCAGTGATGCGTCTTAGAAGGGCGAAATAGCTGTATGATGTAGCATCACTGATAAGTCTTAGAAGGACGAAACAGATATATGATGTAGCATCAGTGATGAGTCTTAGAAGGACGAAACATATGTATGATGTAGCATCATTGATGAGTCTTAGAAGGACGAAACATATGTATGATGTAGCATCAGTGATGAGTCTTAGAAGGACGAAACAGATGTATGGTGTAGCTTCAGTGATGAGTCTTAGAAGGACGAAACAGATGTATGATGTAGCATCAGTGATGAGTCTTAGAAGAACGAAACAGATGTATGATGTAGCATCAGTGATGCGTCTTAGAAGGGCGAAATAGCTGTATGATGTAGCATCACTGATAAGTCTTAGAAGGACGAAACAGATATATGATGTAGCATCAGTGATGAGTCTTAGAAGGACGAAACATATGTATGATGTAGCAGCAGTGATGAGTCTTAGAAGGACGAAACAGATGTATGATGTAGCATCAGTGATGAGTCTTAGAAGGACGAAACAGATATAGATGTAGCATCAGTGATGAGTCTTAGAAGGACGAAACATATGTATGATGTAGCATCAGTGATGAGTCTTAGAAGGACGAAACAGATGTATGATGTAGCATCAGTGATGAGTCTTAGAAGGACGAAACATATGTATGATGTAGCATCAGTGATGAGTCTTAGAAGGGCGAAATAGCTGTATGATGTAGCATCACTGATAAGTCTTAGAAGGACGAAACAGATGTATGATGTAGCATCAGTGATGAGTCTTAGAAGGACGAAACAGATGTATGATGTATTTTACAGCATTGTTTGACTCTGCTGAATCTGACAAAATTTATACTTAAGGTGTTATTTACTGGAAGTGAAAGCTGGAGAACTCGGGTTGAACTAGTGCATTTGGTCGATCAGGTGACTCGATTCAAAAAAGGATTCATGACCGGAACACGAAGGTGTTTCGTGCTGGTGGTGCGCCACTCCAACACCCTTTTTTAATAATCAAATTGTAATGGTTACAGGTTCTCGTGTAAAATATCTTCCTTTATAATTACAGTTGATGCTGATCACTGTGAAAGGGGAGGAGCGCACTTGTCACTACAAGTTCGGAGCATACCACCCACAGATATACGACATGTTTACCTGCGCTTGGTGTTACACCTTCTTGTTTCCAAAACGAGGCTTGACAGCACATCCAGGCCATCCTTTCCTGTTCCTGACATCAGAGACAGGAAGAATTCAAGCTCGATTTAATCCTGACGCTAAGAATGATACAGCTAGGACTGAAATTTGCCGAACGTTGACTGATGAACAGTGTCAGAGATGGCAATCATGCTGCTTTGCTGCGCATGACTGTTGTGAGGAACAACTCTCACTTCCGCCACCAGATAATTCTACCTGTCAAGCCACGTGGGACGGATATGGTTGCTGGGGTAAAAAAGCGCCTTCTACAGTCAACTATATGAATTGTCCACTCTACATGTCTTATTCTATTCCTACGCGTAAGTCTGTGATAAATATCTATGACAAAAACCTAACTAGCAAATCTACCAATCCTATACTCTCATAACCATACACTATATTTTTAACTTCTGTGTTTTATTTATATGAAAAGCAGCATAAGCAGTTCCTTGATAGCATTGAAAATTATTAAATCTATTGATATTTTACAATATTTACTGAATTAATGTCCATTATTGCTGCAAATCTTAAAAAGTAGAAATTTTCCTCCTCAAATATTGACTTTTTTTCGGTGGTATTACCAATAGCTTTAAGAAATAATGTTGTATTTTCCTTAGAATTTCTGAAATCAACTATAGTGTTCCTGTCTTTAATGTTTCCATTTTTAGCGATTATATTCCATTCTCGAAATAAAGAATACTTTAAATATGGCAACTTTACAGCATTTTCTTATTTTTTCAGGGCAAGCGGAAAAGATATGTCTGCCAAACGCCACGTGGCTGATGAAAACAGGAATGTATTGGACAGATTATACATCGTGTTCAAATTATAAGGTAGTATTATTTTCTCTTCAAACATATCGTATTGTCATAATCACCAGCAACAGGATTTGGCACAAGTTACTACAACATTATTTAAGTCCTGTAACAATACAAATTATATTTACAGCATTTGGCAAACAGAGAAGTCATGAATTTTTAATTATAAACATACAAGCAAGTTATATTGATATCCAAAGTAAGAAAACAATTAATTTGACTTATCTTAATTAAAAATATTTTGCTAAATTTCATGAAATTGTGCATATTTCCTAATATCATTAAAACATTCAAGAGTAAGGAAAAGAAATCGTGTGTGCTGTTAATAATTAGGACAATCAGAGAAAAAAGGTTTCCGCATGAACATTCGGCTTCATCAGCCACATCTAAACAAAATCATATTTCAAAGAACTACAACGATGATGACGAAATTATAAGTGAGAATTCTATTTGCCTTCCTGTCACCGTAGTAAGAACATGGCGACAATTCCAAATAATACAATTCTATCATGATTTTTTTTCTATTTTGTTCACCAAAAATTATTGAAAACAGTGGTATTTGACGACAGACTAAAGCCTGTAAAATCACTCTTCCTAAAAACAATGGAAATGTTCCAGGAAATGTCAAAGCATATGGCTTGAAGCTGAATAGTTTATTGAGGGTTAACAAAAATAAAAAGTAGATGAAAATTTTAAAAAAAATGTATTAATAAATGCATATTTATATCATTGTTATATTTTAATGCTCCACGTCCGTCTATTTGTCCTTCTGCCCGACCTTTCATGTCCTGAGCATAACTTTGTTTGAATTTCCATTAGGATTACGTAACCTGGTGTATACATTAGTCATACTAGGAGAATGTGTAGTATACCAATTTGAGATGCCACTACCACTTAAGTACAGAGTTATTGCCCCTTTTAATGTGTCCGGATCATAACATCACTAACAGTTAAGTAAGGGTTATTAAAAATTGTGTATACAGTAATGATAATAAATCTATGTACAGTGTACCAAATTTAGAGCCTGCGACCCCGCAATTGCACAGTTATTGCACTTTATCAAAACTTGGTGTCCGGAACATGATATTTTGCTCGCATTTAAACTAGGATGATGGAATAGGGTGTATACATTGGTCAGACTAAATCTATATAAAGTGTACCAAAGGATATTAAAACTTGGTGTGTAAATTTGTTATACTGAAAGGACATACAGAGTACAAAAACAGTGTCTGAAACTTCTTAATTACAGAGTTATTGCCCCTTGTTAATACATTTTGTGTTCAATAAAATTGTTCTCTGGAAGCATTCGTCATATCCACCGATATTCTTGTCATGTTATGTTAACCAAAGCGATTGTAACCACATGGGTTTGGCGACGAATTTGGTTTTTGTCAAATTCTGCTAGATCATAATCCAAATAGCACTACCAACGATATCGCTCCGCTCAAGTATGTCCCGACACCTATTTTTAGGCAGCCGAAAGGACTTGCTACACATGAATGAGAAATTTAATGTGATAACCGGTCACGTGGTATATGTGACGTCAAAGTGCTACTTCGGCTGACTTTGTAAGCAGAAGGCAGACACTTCTCATATGATCCCGTTTACTCGCGATACCCTTGATAGACAGGGAAACCTTGTTTTCCACTTAACTCTACTATCATTCTATACATAGTTGAGCAAATTAAAGAAATTTGAAGAAAACGAAATTAGCAGGAAAACACATGCAGGATCGCGTGTCATCGATATTATATATGTATGTACATATTTTGTTACATGTTTATGGTCTTATGGAATGTTTCATTATTTCAATTTCGAAGGTATACGATTGTTTATTTACACATTAACTGGTGAAAAATATTAATCTTAGTGAAAATTCAGCAATAAAAACAAAATAACTAAATGACACGAAAGCTGAGTTTCCTGCACATTTTTGTATACGATTGTCTATCACGTGATCTGACTGGCGGTACGGAAATGTTTATTATCATATCATATTATCATCGTACACAAGTCCAGACTTTCATATTTGCAAGCATTGTTTAAAAAGAATTGTTAATACATAATAAATAGATATTAGTTTATCTCCGAACCAGTAGGAACTGACAGATTTATAGATTGTCATCACAACATTTGTAGTAGTTGCACTTTGTGAGTGTGCACTCGTACAGCAAACCGTTGTACGTGTCAAAACATTGGACCCCCCCTCCCCTCCCTCCCCACCACCACCACCACCACCTTCCAAGAGTTCCGTAAAAAATGCTTACAAACAATTAACACATGTAGTTAATTACACACATGAAAGCTACACACTATCATTAGCTACATAGGAAATCACCACTTTTTCCATAACTTCAGTTATGATAAAATTTCAGTTTGATTTGGCCTTGAAATGTATTATTTTAATCGCTACTGGAAAAAACTGTTGAAACTATTTTCCTGGATTTTTTTATTACGAGTTGTTGTTGATGAGTGTTTACACTGAGCAGAATATCGCGACACAATAATCTCATTATATATCAATCAATCGTGGTAGTAATGGTATTTCCTGTCATCCGGTGTACGATTTAGTTAAACGAAAAATTAACTCAAGAAAGTAAGGAGAAAATAAATCACTTTAGCTTTACTGTCATAAATCGCTATGGGTACGTATGTAGGTTTCAATTCAATAAGATTTTAATCGTATAGGGAGTATTATTGGCATGACGTATGTAATGTCACTATCTCTGAAGTACCACTCTGACTTCATACATATGGACTGGTGCCGCACTCAAAATATGCATATTCATCAACATCGAGACGATACTATAGGGGCGGGACTAGTTTTCGCGGGCAACATACATCTCTGCATCATTTTAGACTGAAATGTGGAATTGTGAAAAATCGTGTATAAAACCCTTCAACCTCGAATCCGAGTCGTTTGCTCAAAGACCATCGCCATATTGCCGGAATCATATGCATATGCGGGTTTTATTTATTACATGTACATCGTATCTAAAAGACTCTTGAGTATAAATCCAAGGTTCACTATTTCGAACACAAGAAACTTATCGGCTACTTTTCCCTTATTTATAGGTTAATTACTTATATACTGTGGAACAAACAGTCACTAAAACAGCGTTGCCAACAGCAACTGATACCAGCAGCATTTGTGTTTGTCATTCTGTACATTTACATCTATGAAGATCCCGGCTAGGTTTTTTTTAATTTAATTAAAACGCAGATTCCATGCATAAGATTAATTGAATGCATTAGTATATGAACGCTTATTGCAGGTTTGCAATTTGAAATAATAATAGATGAAGAACGTACGCTTCATGTTATCTACAAAACACCGATCATCGTGGTTATATTTCATGGAATTTTTACGATTAAATGTGTTTTCTTGATAAAAATGCTATGTGCTGTCGGAGAAGCATTATACAGCAATCACTCGCTAGTACATTGTCATATTCGATGTCGATGTCCATTTTATCTTCAGTTACTTGGTATAAAAAAATCCAAAAATACCAAAGTATCAACATTATCATAAGCCAAACACAGTTTCCATAAAATTAAGGCAAAATATTAACAAAAGAATGATTTACACGAAGATTCATGAAATAGTACACGCAGAAATAAGATACCCCAAAATAGTTTTCGTAATGCAGTTAAATATATCAATTTTATGGTATAACATTACGTCGTTATTCCGTAGATGACGTTTTTAAAACGACAAAATTGAAAAAGAAGAAAGATCAAATGTTCGGCAGGTGTACGTCCTCACATACTCGCATTACATACACTTCAGTGTCACGAAGGTAGGGAATTCCAAACACAAATATTTGATCATTCTCTTGAGTAATTAGAGTAAAACATCTTTTTGTGGCAATGAAAATTGAAAACTTACAAAGTTTTAAGTTACCTTTAGCTTATTATTATATCGCATTTAGCTTTCTTACTCAAAAATATCCAGATGTAGATTCATTTATTTTTGTCAGACTCGAAAGTGTTTGGCTTCCAAGAGCTACGTGCTGATTGATTGGTGAAGACAGTGATTTCAGGAAAATAAGACAAACCCCAAAGATAATAATATCTACTTATGAGTAAGATGTGTATGTGATTCTAAGAAGAATATCTTTGCAATAATACTCCAGTTCTATTGTAGTCAAAATAACATTCAGAATTTTAAAATTCCACTGGTCTCAATGCGTGCACATATGACCATATTAACTGTATATGTGTTCTCCTGTCATGAATAGATATAAGTTTTCTACCCTGGCTAAAGAGCTAATAGGAAACACTACTCTGTGGACAGACATGTGGGAAACTCGAACTTCCTGATAATACAATTCAGGCCAAATTCGAACAGCAAGACAGTTATATGTGTAAGAGTTCTCCTCTCGGGAAAATAAATACACCTGAGAAATAGTTATTGTCTAACTTGACTAACGAGCTAATTGCAAATCTTAGTCTATGAACAGTCGGGAGGGGAGCTTCCTGTTAACAAGCCCTGAACAGATATCACACCAAGTTCGAACAGCAAGACAATGTCTATTCGTCATTATTCATTAGGAACTGACTCTCCTCTAACGAAGACCATTGTCAACTAAATTATGTATTCGTAAGTTTGGTCACAGCTGGTCGTTTGCAAGAAGTCAAAGTCCAGCAACATGGATAGAACAGGGATACTGCGTCATGTCGACTTATAGATTGTACAAATATAAGTGCATGTGTACTATTACAGAAAAACAACGTTCAGTGTAGACGTAGGTGGTGTCAAAACGGAAAATTCTGCAATGTCGGTCATAAACATTGTTGTCGACAAGAACGGCACTACGCCGTGTCAATAGTACATCCCAGTTTCCACTTATCCTCAGGCTTTTGTCAGGGCCATGTTATAGTCATCTGTCTATGTCGTCCAATCTAACATAACATTGACTTCAAACAATCGAAGCTGTTTCAGGCAGTTTATTTTAAATTCTAACAGGTTCATCTCCCTGCACTCTGCTAACCTCCCCACTTGCAGCCATGCTCTATTATGTTCCTCATTGTTTGACATAGGCTGTTAAAAGAAACGGCAGATGTCTGTGGCAGACCTATAGTATTTTCCACGGTCCTATGTAGATGACTTTACGGTAATATTAAACACTGCCTATTGTCTGGAAATTAATCATGCAGGTTTGCACATAAATAAATCTCATAAATCTTGCATTGCAATATTTCAAACATTTGCCTGTGTTGGAACAAATCTCAGACAGAGCAAGCTAATTTGAGACCAGGATGCCTTTTTGCGTTTTTTAGTGCAATGCACTTGATTGATACCTTACAGAACACCATGCGTATGGCCCATCGCCTGTTATCAAATGCAATTTGTGTAAATCACTGTGTTATTATGATATGCGGCCTATATTGGTATCCATTATTTGTCTAGAAATGTAAGAAAAACAACTTGTTCTTGTTGCAATTCTTCGATTTCGTTTCTTAACGTTGTCATAATGAAATCTTTAGTTGGTAACTTTTGTAAAGAATTTTTCCCCCATAAATGAAAGTGCAGCTTGATCTATTCTCTTTCTAAGATGTAGTTTTTGTTTCGCGTATGCTGTGAAATAATAAAGTTTCGTGGTTTCATATCCAGAATATATTTCAATGTGCTATGTGAATTGGATAACCCATTTAAGACAATGTCTTTCCGTGTCCATGTTTCTTCCTATTTATTATGTTTCTTACATGTTCACAAGCGGGAATGTTCCAGACTGTAAATATGGTGTCCTAACAAAACAAAAACCAAGTCAACATTATTATACAATTACTGCTAACAGGCATAGGAAACAGCTAAAACAGAAAAGCTAACAGCGATAAATGAAAATCCAGCGTTTCAAAATATTTTCATTTCATTTTTACCCTGATATAAACCTTAATGTATCCTGTTTGCTATTTATTTGACCTGTTGATCGATTACAACATAATGAATATTTCGTGTTTTGTCTTTGTTTTGATTATGCTGCTGTTGTTTCTGTATTGATTTTGTTGTTGTTGTTGTTGTTGTTGTTGTTGTTGTTGTTGTTGTTTTGTGTTTTTGTTATTTTTTGTACTTTGGTTTTTTAACTAGTATTTGTTTTATCGGCCTGTACAAATTCACTTGGAATTAATGAACTCTTTCTGCCGACAGGACCTAAAGACCTCACTCTATCTTGGTATGGGATGTAGTATATTCAGTGTCATCGTCCTGGTTCCTGCTATATATATCTTTGTCAGATACAAGTAAGGATGTACACTTCTCTTCACGTATATGTTATCGTCTATATTCTCTAATACATTTATTGTATTAAATAGCTCGACATTTTGCGACCATATATTTACCATAAATGTTAATTTTCGAATAAGTTACGGAACCGCTGATCAAATTGCTGTCCATAGTGTTGATCTAACAGCATCGACGCATCCAAACTGATATATAATTTTCTTTCAACATTGATAACTGTTATAACAATGTTGATATTAAAAGTTCACTTTTCAAATGTGATGTGCTCTCTTTGATTTCCCTGGCGACAGAAATATCAAACGGGTAGTAAAAGTAAATTTATATCGAAATATTGTCTAATTCGTATACCGGATTTAACTTTTTGTCTGATTATTGAATAGAAATGAGTGTAATTAAATGTTGAAATCGGAAAATACTAGCCAATATGAATGAATTATTTTCATGGTTTGCAAACGTCCGAAAGATGCATTCTGTAAAATAGTCATTAATACCGAATATTATACAAACAGTTTCATATACTGAATTACGTTGTTTACAAATTAATTTCTAGAATAAAAATGTCCAATGATTTTCTAATGCTTCCTCGTTTTTTTCGAGGGTGGAATGAAATCGCGAAAAGTCGACACGTTGAAAAAAAGAAATGTGAAGGAAATCATGGTCATTGTTACAAATTTCAGTGAAATATTCATCCTTACTATATCAACGTTTTTGTGAAAAATTGAACTTTTACAAAATGGCAGATGTCGACTAGAGAGATGATCCTTCCAGGATGTGTATTGGGTGAAATGAATTTTTCCCAGATACATTTCGTTTGTCGTTATTTTCTTTCTATTGCCTTTATATTACGATCATACGAGATATCATATAATTTGAAATAGGGCACTTCGGAAGCAGCACCGGATACGACTACATATCAACTTTTTCCTGGCTCTCTTGCTGAAGGAAGTGATGACCATATTATGGGATATGCTGGTGACGTATGACCGTTTATCACATGAGGATGCTTTCAATACCATACTTGTACAGAATGGGGTGAGTATTGTGTTATATAACATGTTTGTATTGTTCAAAATAATTCCTCTACCTATTGCCCATTGAACCACCGTTTTGAAGCAAGCTTACCTTGTACTTGATAGTGGTAACCTCATTCGTGAACAACATTCGAGAGGCCGACAGTAAATTATCTATATCCGCAACACCACAAGTCAGTCCGTGATCTCTCCTTCCAGAAAAAAACACAAACTGGTCTAACTATAGATCGAACCACTCACCTTGATGCTCTGCCAACAGCGCAGTCGAGGCTCTGTGTAGCATTTAAGCACTTTTAATTATTTAAAACCATTCTCGTGGAACACTGTCCGAAATGTTATCAGTTATTTCAGAATATTTTATGTCTGTTATCTAATTTTTCATTTTGCGGGATTTATCGTCCAATAAAAACTGGGTTGATTTTGATAAGGATTCCGCTGGAAGTAGCTGACGTGCCTCACTGAACAAAACGCGGATGTCCCGTCGCACGCCCTTTAGAGAAATTAGGAAAAAGCGCCTTTTCCAAAACCCACGTCAGCAAAGCTTTAGAAGACTCTTGTGTAAACTTTATTAACACGACACCACATTCTATATCTTATTTACCTTCGGTAGCATGTGATTTAAGAAAAAAGACTTTTAAAAAAAAACATAAGCATCTTCAATACTTTGTTGTTCACTTTCTTTAAGTAACATATTACGGGTTTCGGAAAAATAGAAACCGAGTTGACGTTATTGGTGATAAAATGTACAAAACTATAACGAACATGTATGCTTTAACTGAACATTCGCGAAACTTAGATAAGACACAATACCACATCATATCATAAATGTTATTATCGAATAACCAGAACACAAAATAATAGGGTATGTTTGATAAAATCACATTTATTGTTATAAATTACACGACAGGTATTCTCGGAAGTCATATTTTTTACTGCAATATATGGCCTTTAGTGTTTCTTTTATGGCAAAGCCCAAAGCCTTTATCATTTTACAGCCCGTCCTTGACCTGTGGTTCGGGCGATAGAAAACCTGCAGACAATTTTTAGTGTCTTGCTATATCGTCATCTAGATCCGACCTAGGTTATTTCAAGGAAGATGTAAACGTGTGGAGCATGCAATCATTAAGCAACCAACGAAATCATAAAAATGGTTGTCATTGTTTCTGCTGAGACATCAAATCATATTTACTATTTTAGAATATTTCACTTTGTTGCTTTTGACACACATAAAAGTTTGTCTTCAAAATGTTAAAGGTGCCATGTGTCTACAATATCTGATTCCAAGAGGATGTTTCTTTTAGGGACTGGACATCTTATTAATGCGATACCGGTTCGAGTCATTCGATTGGGTTTGACATTCAGCATTTCGCTCGCTAAGTAGGCATAAAATGTGAGCGAGACCTTTTAATTGCCTGTCTTGGGCTCCAAAACAGAATGTCCAGAATTTAACAGTCCAAACACCTACAAATGTACCTAACCTGTCTGCGTTTGAGGTATACATATCGTATATAAATGCGTTATAGGTTTCAAATCAGTCATAGTATCAGCCATGTGACTGTTCATTGGTTTTACTACATTTCTATCGACTATGATGCTGTATTATAAATAAAATCTGTACCACACAGAACTGTAACAAAATGTATTATTGAGTTTCTAGAACGACATATAGACTCGGAATATCTTTATATCTATTCTGTACTGCATCCCATTTCCATGAAACAATACAATTGTGAAATAAAATTGATAACAAACTGTCTTATCTTACACACTAAACAAAGCGCGAAAAGTTCATTGACACACTGGGAAGCGATATGAAACTATATAGATACACCACTACCTGGTACATAAATTACACTAATAACATTACGCTCGGCTAAAATCACATTGTTGATAAAAATGATTACATGCACATGAAATCAAATAACGTGTTCTTCAGTATTAACAGGGTATGAAAAACGTTGAATTTCATATAAAATACCCCCCAGTATTGAACTAAACGTTGCATACTGAAAAAAGCTATGATAACACTAATTTCAACCTAATCTTCAGCTTTAAATGAGGATGTTACTTCTGATCATCAGTCACTGATCGAGTAATAGATAGCAATGCCGTTTGTAACGCATTTCTCAGGTTTCAGAAATTCAAACTAGTAAATGTTTAACAACATGAACATGTTTGATATTAAGGAAATGTCACTTCTTTTAAAACTAGTTTTTGCGTTGTAGACATTCTTTCAAGTCTCCCCAAATAGAAAGGACACACCGAGAACACAAATATATTTTTCATGAAAAATATAAAGCTTCACATTGTCCACTTCAGCATGGCTATACCAGTTTTAGGGGGTTTGATATCTAAAGATTTAATTAAATCCTTTGTAATTGGATAGTTTAACGAAAGAAAACATCACTCAAATTGTGTATTGTTGCTCAAGAATTCAGAGCCGCCTAATACTCTCCTTTGTCAGAGAAGATGCTATAGAAGAAACCAATGGTGATTTTCGATGGCAGAACCTGCTTGTCACATAAGCGCCCAAGAATAGTTTTTTCACTTAATATTTTTCAGTCATTTTGTTATCGGTTTTATGAATGCTGCCCTGCTATGCCTGTAATATAGTACTGTCTTATTACAGCGTAATGTAAACGGGACAAGACAATTCAAGTTGTCCGTTGTACATGTTTGTGCATCAGGCATATAATTTATACTGCTACTGTTTGTTCAATGGTACGTATGCATGTAATGTCTAGCTCCACGGGCGCTCGTGGACGCATAGCTAAGCATAAAACACGCCACGTATTGAATATGTTTTATCTGTCCACCGTTCGTTCCTCTGAAGTCTCAAGGAAAATGTTTGATAGCACAATTAACCTACAAGAACAAAATATTTTATTGCCATGACTAACGGATTCTGTCAGGTTTCGTCGTAAAATACGGAAATGGCCCATTGATCATTTAAAAGCCATTTGTGTACCTATAATACCGAATCATATCTTACAATACACTGTACTTAAGCATTGAATCCCCCTGATATGGCATTTATAGTCATTATAAATGACAGGTTTGCAAGGAAACATCGTTTAAGTCATCTATGGTTATCCTGACATTTCCAAAATATCTTTTTTTTTATTTTATCGTATTCATTTCTCATTTTTCGTAAGCTATAACAAATTGCTTACCAACAAATGTACAATCCGTTGGATGGAAAGGCCATTCTGATGGTATGCCGTTTCCGTTAGCTACAGACGTAATGATGCCCACTTCAATAATGGTTTTTCTTTCATATAAATATAGAAATATCTCCATTTCATGCTTAATCGCCTGAAGTATGTGGCGAGGATCCGAGGTGCGTGGTTCGATGCTCATTACCCATGGCGTTACATTTTTCTCGGAAACCTCTGACTAGTTGTGATTTTTAGTCAGGACACTATATCCTAATTTCTTTGGATAACATGCGACGAACCTCCAATATGTTGTTCACTGAGGTAGCCACCTGGTCCTGCGAGGATATCCCGCTTCAAAATGACTCCGGTTGTTCAAGGGGACCCGGGGCGATCAAACCAGCAAACAAACGATAATAATTCGGCTCATCATTCCTATATATAGTATTTGAGGAGCTCACGTGGTGTTGTGGCATTTTTTCTTTGATATGCCCCGGATCAGATTCGTCACGTTCATCAGATCAATTACGGGATACCTCGTGCGACAGAAGATAAACAACTGCAATGTCATTTGTTATGAAGTGGCATAGTGTTAACCTAGGAAAACAGAGAACATCAATAAAGTCCCTTTTGATTGTTGCTATCTATGTATAACACATTAGACTATATCATGTGATTGTCATTTAATAGTTAGGTCAAAATGCATAATTTACAAGCTTGTTTTACGAGTTTCGTCAAATGTACTTCTCGCTAAGGCAATCAGTGTGATTTATCGTGTTGATAGTCATTTGTTGAATTTGTTATTCTGCATTTTCGAAACTCTAACTCAATCCCTTTCTCCAGTTAATCGAGTTTTAAGCATAACGGCGCTGTGTGTGAGAAATGGCATACTGTCCTTTGTAATTACAAAGACATTGTTGAAAATCCTGGTACATAAGGCAGAGAAATCTCAGGTTTTACGAAGCGCTGGAACTTTCTTCCTCATCCAATCTAGCAGTTTTGTTACCACAGCATATTACTTTAAGCCAAATAATCAAAATGTCTTCATGGAAGGAAAGCAATTCAGTCGAACAGATGAACCGTGAAATTAAGAAAAAGAAAAAGTAGTTTTTGATTCAAATTTAACACATTTATGTACATATGTATACATAAAAAGAATCTATGATTGTACATTGTTATGTTTTTAAGATCAATCACATGTTCGAGACTTTGTTACACACTGTCATCCTCGACTTCGTTATTTCGAACACAAACCCATTATTTTCATCTGTTTTAATCCATTAGTACAAAAACAAATATCCTATCAGTCCAAAACAAAGCTAAAGCAATAGCGAAAGAAATAGTCAATGATTTTGATTAACCCATACCAATCCGAAACACTTACTATGTTTTATTATTTTTCTCAAAGTTTGTCTACTTATTTTTTAGTTAACATACAATTTATATAAGATTTTTACAATTTAAAAAAAAAGTGTTCTTGTATTTTCTCAGTGTTCGAAGTCGTAACATTTTACAAGCTGTACGAAGATTTTTGTGCAGGATGTCGCAACTGACAGTCAAGCTTACAACAAAGGTTTTTGATAGATGCAGGATGATGAAAATGAGGGGAGCGGCGGGGGAGTTTGGGTTTACGATCTCATTGAGAAATATTATATTTACTTATGCGATATGACGTTGGACTTGTTCGCAGCTCGTCAGTTAACATCTTTTTTCGTTGTGTTCGCCGTATTCCAGATTGGGAACGTGTCATTTCTTTCGTATTCACATGATTGCAATTGATAGACACATCTGGTTGACGCTTAGTCCTCGAGGCTTGCTTAACCTGCTTTTTAATTCATTTGAATAGTGGCACTGATCAGAATTTACACATTTACGTGACGTTCTTCTATAATTACAATATGTAAGAAAATTACGAACTTAACTCAATTATGAGGCTAGTGTACATCCCAATCTAGATGTTTACAATTCTTTCGATCACTTTGGATTTTTCACCGTCACCGTCGAATGTTTAACAATTAGGGTCTGAGCATCACTGATGAATCCTAGAAAGACGAAACAACTTGATGATTCAGTATAATTGTTCGTTTGACTCTGCTTTATCTTATCTGAATTGGTATGAACTATTCAATTGTGAGAGTCTTTTCACAATTTTAAATTGTCCAAGATTTACATGGTTGGTGAACCAAAACCGGCTGACTCTTCCATAACACCTGGTCTTATTCTCCTGACACATTTGCATGGGTAGCCAAGTAAATATTTTTTTCTTTGCCCTAGTATTATCGATTATGATTCTGTATTGTTGATATTTACGGTGTTGTTATAGTGTACCATGATTTACTTCTGATTCTTACAGGTGGGATGTAAAGTGCTCTCCTTCTTCATGATCTACTTTAAATGCACGAGTTTTACATGGATGTTTTGTGAAGGGTTCTATCTTCATCGTTTAATGAGTGACGCGTTTTCCCCTCCACGGTCCTTAATCACGCTTTATGTGACTGGTTGGGGTAAGTTGACATATTTCCATATTTCCAGGTCCCTAGCATCACTAATGACCTTATGAAGTATGTAACAGCTGCATGGTGCTGTACTTGTATGGACATGAATGTGTTACTTACATATATGTAGTTTTCAAAACATTATCACTCATCCGACGACAATTGTCTTTATTGAATCCTCGATGATGGAAGGATTCAGTATTACATACCTAATCTATCAAGCTGTAATTCTCATTCTAAACTGGATACTGTTGATAAATGTGACATTACAGAATTTACAGATATTAACCAATTTATATGATTTTTAGTAAATGATCTGAGTGGAATTAGCCATTGTGAATACATAGAGGAATCCTATTTTTCCAAAGTACTGGTTAAACGCAAAGATATGTACGCTGTTCGCTTAAGTTCTCCTTGGATCAGAGTTCAATTACTTTTACTCAAACATGTCACTCTGTTCGGCTAAGAAATGAAGGAGTTGCTATTTTAAATCGATCTAGCTAGATCTATATAGAATCTCAAGAAATGGAATATCTGACGCTTGTTGATATAGTGACATTTTTTCTATAAAAACATCAATAGATCATTTTGTGATTTTTTTATATGAAAAACATCATAAGAAATCCTGACTTTGTTTGAATATTCCTTTAAGAGAATGATGACCTAAAACAAAATCTAGGTAACGTATTTGCTCTTGTCAAAACGGTTGCTCCGTTGGACATTTGTCATATACAATTATGTATGCTTGAAACAATATAGCACCACAAAATCCAACCTAAATTGCAAAAAGATAGAAATATTTATTACACTAAGTGAAGATTTGTCTGATGGTTATACGTCCGTTTGCAATATTTATGCATAAATATAACGATGTTTTCAAATTAAAGAAATGCAATTCAAGTTCATACATAGGATTACATGTATAAACATAGTAAAATACAGTTAATTTATATGTATAGATTATACAACTGACCTGACAGAGCCTGGAAGCATGCCTGCTTTCCCATAATCACAAGAAGAACACATTTTGGGATCTTTATCTTCTTTCTTCTATAATCTTATTTCCTTAATGCAAGGCTATGTATTCTGTCCCCAGACCGAGAAAAAACAATATATATATCTTGTGCTTGCCGCTCCCTGTTTGATTTTCAACACAACTAAAGTTATGACAAAGTGTGATAAGGACGTTGTCAGTTTTTGTTATCTGGGCGGGGTGTATTCCTACCGGTTCTTGCTTCAGTTTCATTCAAATAGCAAAAACAATCAGTGACCCAATTAATCAAGTGCACATTCTTGATGGGACGTTAAACTCCATTTCATTAAAAGCAAATTGATTTTGTTCTCAAGTAATCCCGTTTTTTATTCAGTGGTCATATATGATGTTTAAAGCATAAGAGAAATAGCATCACTGACAAGTTCTGAAATATTGTTCAAAAGATACACAAATGAACTACACCTTTTTGATACAACTTAAGATACAGCAGAGCCAAACTAGACTGCATCATTCAGCTGTTTCGTTCTTCACGAACTCGTCAGTGACGCTAAGACCCTTAAGAAGTACTAAACAGCTATATGATCTATAATGTTTCATTAATAGACATACAATGTGTTTAATACTTAATATGCTATACCCTTGTGTCTTTAGTCTATCATTTACGGAAGTTTATTCACATGTTGCAGCGTCTTCTAAAACGCTACATGAACTATGCTGCCATTACAATGTCTGTCAAATCAAATAAGAAGCTTACTGATCGCATACGGCGGTGGTTACGTTCAAAATTATAGGAAATTCATATTATTAGAATTCATATTTCTTGATGTGCGGCTAATGACATTATAATGGCATAATAATCAATGACATTTTTATCTTACGAGCAAACCAATGATGAGCTGGAGATATGGCATTACTACTAATGTGAAAATGAGATTTTTAAAATAGAATTTATGAGGGCTCTGGTCCATTCTTGATTACGTGTTACGTGAGGAGATTAAAGCCGATTCTGTTTATGGAGCGACTGAAGACAATTATAAAAACTCTGCATATTTAGACGTGGAGTAGCTGTTCTCAAAGCTAACGCTTATAGGCGAAACCAACCATGGAAAATTCAGTTGCGTGTTCACACATACACGATAGAGATCCGTTACACTATGAGGTAATGGGATTAATTTTCAGGAGGGACGAGACACACACATTAACGTGAACGGGAAATAAAATAATGTTTGCTTTAGTGTCCTGGTGACATTGCAAAAAATAGATTTATACATACACATAAGTTAAATTAAAATCCCAAAGATTACTTTCTCTTTAAGCAAATACATCATTGAAGAAAATGGCTTATAAGGCAAGTCATCTGCATATCTTACCAACTCGGGGGATTTGCCCGTGACAACTTCTGCTTCGGTAATATCGAACAATAGCATGTTCTAGCGTTTATTGCCTTCCAATCAATCCAGTGCACTCTTATCGGTGTTGTGTGCCGACATACCATTTACATGATATCTGAGTGGTTTAGATAGTAGTGCATTTCACACTTACATTGAGAACACAAATATTTAAAATAACCAAATAAGTCATATACCAGAACTGATGTACTATAAATGTGGAAAATAAAAATATCTATCAAAAATGTAAATGTGAAAGACAACCGTATATAAGAGTTATGAAAACCTTTGGTGTATCAAAAAGCGAATAGCTTTATGCTACTTTCTGAGACTGAGGTCATATATTTTCGTTAGAAAATGATAATTTTATCACCAATATTACATTATCGTTATACACTACACATTAAAACAAGGGCTCTTATAAAACTTCGAGCCAATGATTAAACATTATTTAAAAAAAAAAAAACTAAAATAAGTTTCTATAACAAAGAAAGTGTGCGGATATCGAATTCTGAAAGATTGGTACACATAAGCTAGGTGAACTGGTAATAAATGAAATTTTGTCAAATTGTTCAGATTAGGATGAAGTTATTGGACGCCTTTTCTGTAGACACCATCGCATACTTATATATAACGTTAACTTTGATGTAAGAAATAATTGATGAATGCAGACTTGTTTGATTACATTTGGTGCCAGAACTATTGTAAAAACAACTATTTAGTACAAGTCGCACTGTCGATTTATTTTACTTGTGAGGCCCAGAAGTCTAGACTAATTAATTGAATACACAGGTATTAAGTGTCACATTAATCCGTCACTTTCTGTCCCGAGATGTTGAAACCTCGGCATCCATCTATCGTACGATCAGATATCACGCTTAATTAAGTAATGATAAAAAAGGCGGACTGCAACGCTGTCCGATTGGATATTGTTGTTTTATGCTTTACAATGTCGACTGTGTAGTTTATCTTGCTATTTCCAGCAGCTTTAAACACTTTAATGGAAGATCAATCACACATTTTTGTTCGATTACACATCTATTAAATGTTACAACGCAACAGGGCTTGTGCAAATAATTGTTTTCGGATTTTTAAACCTTTTGAAATAAAATCAGTAGTTTGGTATACACGTTTACTAATTACATACATTACTTAGACAAACATACACCGTCTTTATGTCCGTCTTTTTTTCCTAGCCACTATTTATCTTAACTTCTATGTTCCCATAAGTTATGATATCCGTCCGTCCGTCCGTCTATCTCTCTATACTTATATATCTCTCTCTCTTTCTCATCCCCCCCTCTCTCTCTCTCTCTCTCTCTCTCTCTCTCTCTCTCTCTCTCTCTCTCTCTCTCTCTCTCTCTCTCTCTCTCTCTCTCTCTCTCTCTCTCATAACACAATATCATAATATTCATACAAGAATCAGGCTTTATTTGAAATAGGATACAGCAGATAATAGAAAATAATAACAATCTGAACATGTAAGCATTTTGATGAAAATAACTGGAATAGTATTGTATAGAAAATATTTCTGTGAATCTAATTCCAATAATTTGTTATTTCATTTAAATTTTCACCCCGGTCATGTCTGAATAAGGAACCATGATGGAGGCAAAACGGATCTACGTTGATACAAAACCTACGTCCGGACGAGTAGTTCCGATACTGAAATATACATACTTTCCTTCAGTGTGAATTGTTTCCAATAGTGTTAAATAAACTACACACTACTGATGATAATAACGATATACGACTGATCCTACTCCCTCACTCTCTAATAAATATCTGAGCGATTAGTAAACTGAGAACGTCTTCGCGAAATCATAAAGCACGTGGTTACTATTATTGTGTATATTTGGTATCAAGTTCTGTAGATTACAATACAACCACCTTATGCCTTGTTTGAAATCACTGTCTTCCTCTATTAATACCGTCTAGGGTCTTCATGTCACTCCTAGATATTCACAGGTATTAACTATACACATCACTTGACATGTGTTTTCTTTTGTAAAATAGAATTATAACATTGTATAATCAAACTTTTTGTTTTGTGTTTTATTGTTTTTTTATTAGGTATTCCTCTTCTATCGTCAACCATCTACGCTATAATCCGTGGAATATATGCCAACGAAAGGTGAGACGGTCCGTATATTTTGTTAATGCCTGCTACAAACTTTCTTTTGAAAAAAATCATAGAGAATATTGTTATGTCAATAGAATCCTAATTCAAAGTCTAATTGAATGAAAAAAGCATATATGAATGAAAGAAATAATTACACGGAAATTCTTGCACAAATAAATGAAGAAAAAAACATCTGCCGGAAGGGTAAGTATTTTCTACTACGACTCCCGTCTTGTAGATCATGTTAAATCTATATATCAAATATCATGTTCCCAAACAAGTTCAACAAAGTACTAACGAGTATCAAACATGTCATTATATCATACTCATACGGAAACCCTCCAATATATCACGCTAACTGATGTTATAGACGTTTGTATCAGTTGGGCTAAAGTCTTGTAAATTATTTCTTCTGCATCAGCCTACCATAAAACAGTTCAGTACATTTTAAAAACTAATTCGGTATGGCATATTTGATTGAACTGTATTCACGTTGACGTTCATTCCAATAAAAATGGTATGAATTACCGCGAGGACAAAAAGTACATCATATCCAATCTGTGTTGATATAACCTGCATTTGGTATAACAATAAAACTGCTAAAAATTATATCAACAAAAGACCACGATAGTAATATGTTCCTCCAGTTCCAGCAAATTACCCATTAATGTTAGTTCTTCTATACGTGCCGTTTACTGCCAATCGTTGACATAGAGATATTAGATACAACACGCTTATATTTACACTTGTTCCTTTTCCCAAACTATCGATAATAGTATAATAAGCACTGAAATTTATTTCCCCAAAAAGGGGTGTAAAAGAAAAGTCAGACCCAAGTGGATACTTTTCTGTCTTCTTCGTGGATTGTGATTTTTATTAGTCTGAAATAAATGTCCTTTAAAAAGATTAACCATGAAATGATATATGACAAGTGTAGTAAAGGAAGAATAAGTTACAAAATTTGCCATTCAGGTTACCATGCACTTGTTGAAATGTCACTAGTCAATTATAGATATAATTTAATGTCTGTGGATAGAATCAAACACGAAAAGGCACTTTGAAGACTTGACATTCCGTGATAAATCTTCTTAGGTGCTGTGTTGGATGGAGTATCCTTAACTCGTCTCAAAAATCACAAGAGATCCACAGAAGTTATACTATGTTATCAATAACACAAAGACATGGTCTTAGGCGATTTCATAGATCTTGGAGCCAACAGGCAGGTCGACTTCGTCTGCCGACCGGTCTCTGCACATTTAGCATGCAGACAAGACCAGTTACTCCTGATCGCTTTCTTGATCGGTTGCTTATTGATATTTACTCACAAAAAGAAATAGCATTTAATAAAAATAGAGTAGCCAGGTGGCACAGTTCGTACTGTACTCACCTTTCACAGGCAAATACAGAATAGAGAAACGGAAAAGAAAAATCTAAATAAAAAAGGTTAAGGATATACGTGTTTAGCAACATGATAATCACTTATTTTTTAATTATATACAGATTTACATGATACATACTCGAGTCAGCTACTTGTTTGTTTTATTTAGATAGATTGAATATTTTTTCCAGGAAACAATGTTATGTTGAAATGGCTGATCAGGTATCAGCTGCAAGCCTGTGAAGCAAGAAAAGAGAGACATGCTTTCCGATAGAATTTTTTTATACCAGTGGCCGGTTAATTGATATATTATATTGGCAAATACAGCCAGTCATACAGTAGGAAATATGCCGAAAGAAAGACATTTAGTCTTTCTAACTGAACTGCAATACAATTTGTTAAATTACATGAATGTGTACTAATCCTCACAGTCGTTTCCTTTCAGTTGCTGGTCTACTAGTTATGAGGATAAAGAGTGGATATTTTATGCCCCTAACTTAGCATGTTTAATTGTAAGTAAAGCTGGTCTTGAGGGAATGAAATAGATGAAAATTAATTGAAAAAATATCGATGGGGACTACATACGGAAAAAACACAACTTTAACTATTTGGTAATCAATGCAAACGTTATGTTGATATTTTCGTTTGTTCCATCGTCGATACTGCATGGGTTACAATCACTGTCACTCTTTGCAATCGCTTGAACGTTTCCTTGAAAGTTCAAGACACAAGCGGATTAATTTGATTGGTCTACAGCCAGTTTCAGGTGAATTTAACTGACAAAGCAAAAACTGAAACATTCCTTTGAAGAATAAAAAAAACGCTATACCCAACTTCAAAGCCGGTACAACATACCATTTTGCGACACGGAGGTTCGTTTGATGTACATCAAAGGATCAAACTAGTCTTCTTGCCTTACCCATAAAATGTCGCACTTTGAACCTTAAATTTTGCCATGAAAAGTTCCAGGGCTGCAGAGAGAAATAGCCAGTGTCGGTTTTTGTTTATCATTGGATGATGTGTTGCTGTATATTTAATAACATAAGAAGATTAATGTGGTGATGAGACTGTTATTGTGATTACAACTGGTCACGCGGTATTGTGAAGTCACAATGCGAGATTTATGAGATTTAAATAATTTGTATGATATTACAATGACATTCAGAAAACACTTTGTTGTTTCAATAACTTGTTGATAATCTTAACGTGATTTAAAAAAAAAGAATATAATAGATTGGTCAGAGTGGACAAACGTCCTGGTAAACAAGCCATGACTGGGATATTCGTTAAATGCACTAGCAAATGTTTTAGCATAGGGAACAGGCAATGAATTACATTCCCTTTTTCCTTATAACCTTATAATTAATGGGAGACTTACCATTAGGATTTTGATAATGAAAGGTTTTATCACTATTTCTACCAAAGTACTTTACGAATCATTCCCGAGCTTCATATGAAACGTTTAATTTCCGCAATATTATCATTGCAACTGATCAGAAAACTGATACGAAAAATCAAAATGACTGATTCTTAAGAAATTTCAAATGATGAAGATCAAGAACAGAGAAAAGAATAGAAAATAGGAAATAACTTTTAAAGAACAGACAACGAACAAACAACTGTAGGTGCCAAGACCCCTGTAAAATCTTTTATCTATCACATGGACTCTCGTATTATACAAGACATGAATACACAACAGGTTCATGGCTCATGTCAAGTATGATTTGAGGCGCCGAGACGTACATAAATCTTTCGATGGACTAAGGGTGCCAAGTACATTACAGAGCATACCATATAAACTATACGAATATAGCCATGTGTACAACCTCGATAACGGAAGATATTTTCTGGTCAGTGCTCCCCCAGGTAACATTAAGGACTTCCGAAACAGCAAAATACTTTAGTTAGTGTTGCCTCATTGTACCATTCAGAGCTGATTATATGATACACGCCACTGCCGTCAGCTTGATTTGCTGATGATGTATTCGGACGCTATATTTACATCGTTATTAGGATGTTTGACATGCCAACAATGCGGCTTCGCGAAGACCAATTGCTATCAGTTTCTAGAATAAGAAATGTTTCGGTAATAATATTTGTTCTTTTGCATTGTTATTGTTCACGTAAATCCTAGCTTTATTACATAAATCCATAGCAAAACAGACGTTAAATATCGGTAACTTTATCGTTTTGACCTTTTTCAATAATGCATTCCGTTGTTATGCTTCCCTCCGTTAATACCTTTATTGCCCCTCCTGATTCAAGGACCCTGAAAGGGCATAGGGCACCCACAGATTTGTATATTCCTTGAGCTTTAATTTGTTTTCAAACCAAATTGTCTCCGATTATAAGAAATAAATGCCATAGACTTAAGTTAGAAAAGATGTACTATCAATAGAGTAGTGTACTGACGAGATTAACTTATACCTCTCTTTACAATCTTGATCATTCGATGCAAAATTACTTCTAAGGAAGGTAGACATGATTCCATTAAGTATTGTGTTTATTCTCTGTCAGTCTAGAGGAGGTGTCTGACCGTGACCAATAAGATAATTATCAATACGTATCATCGGATAAAGGCGAGGCATGTGGCTCTTGTCTGTAATAACTTATATGTCTCGTCCGTTCTTATGCGATTAATCTTGAGTCTAGTGCGGGATTAGAACTCAGTTACACATAGCACAGTATCAGATGTCTACAAAGTTCCCAGTGGTCAGTATCTTATGCCCGTTCTTATACTCGTTGTATTTTTTTTATATAATCTAACCTCCTTAATCACGGTGTAGGAGTTTTGTATAAAGAAAATATCCACAGATTATATAGAAAATAGGATGCTTCCTCCTCACCTTCTGACCATTGCTAACCTTGGAAGAAGAAATTTCCCGTGGGTTAGAAAAAAGAAATAAACATTAGGATTCAATTTAAAGACCAAAGACAAAAATAAATAACATGGCAAAATTAGGCACTGCTATCTTTTATTCTACATATCCAATGTCCATTATGCTAAAAACCCAAATCTAACATATAGAATATGAATAGTTTTTTGTTATATTTCCTTGCAGGTAAATTTCATATTTTTATGTAACATCCTGAGGATCCTTCTCACACAACTGCAGTCCCATCCTAATGAACCAAGTAATTTCCGGTATGTATGTAGTTTTGTTTTTCCCTTGAATTAGTGAGTGTGTAAAAAAAATTAAGAAACCCATGCAGAGTCGAATTGATTCCAAATACCAAAAGAAATTTATTTGTCGCCATCATAAAAACTTGGGTTTCTCTTCGTTTGGCGTCCCCTTAGACTTCACGACTATGGAAAGACATTAAGCCTTAATGAAACAACCCGTTAGAGAAAAACAGAGGCGCAATTAGCGATGTTGCTAGACTTGCATAAAGGACCAGGATAATTAGCAGAGGGGGCCGAAAACTTCTGTCTGTACCAGCTTTTAATTCAACATGTTGAAAATTGCACTGTATTTTTTTTATATACGTCGACTTCGTTATGAGGTCATATTAGCTTAGGTATTTCCTCCAGACTTTTTCAATCACTTTCCTTTAATTTAAACATTGGTTATATTAGGACAACTCAAGTGGAAAATGGTTTACTCTAAAGGTTGTTTTCTTCGATGGTTCAAGTTTTGCAGTTTTATTAGAGGCTAGTAGGAGCAAAATGTAATGGATATTTTTTATCTTGAGATAAAGTTTTTGCGATTTTATTCCAATTCGGAAAAGTAGAACCCTTGAAAATTATATATATATATATATAGATGTTCTCACATTTCGATTCGACGTTTCACCTCAGGTTCTTTTAAATTCCATTTTGTTTTACAGGAAGGCCGTTAAGGCCACATTCGTGCTGATCCCGTTATTTGGAGTACAACTATTTGTTACAATCTACAGAATCCCAGTTAACAAACAAGCAGGACTTGAGTACGAGAGATTCTCTTTATTTTGTAATAATTTACAAGTAAGTTATTATAGTTTTCAATTGGCTTTATTCATTAATTTATTATTAAGACTAAAGTCAAAATATATATGTCTTTTATTTGACTTTCATATGCTATTTCACAAACATACCTAGATTATTGATTTCTACATTGACCTTCAAGTTCAGTTAGGTCATGTAAGTCAAAGAATATCACAGGTATATTTTAATGACTCTAATCAATGCCTCTTGTTTAAACACAAATGATAATTAACACATGCGAAACGATGAGGACTTTTTGTTATTTTCTTTTACAGGGGTTTTTTGTCGCTCTCATATTTTGCTTCCTGAATAGTGAGGTAAGCGACATCGTGGCGTTGCCGTGCTCATATAAACAGTCAGCCGTAAGTGTCGCTAGCTTGCTCTCAATACATATGGAAATCAGAAGAAAGAGAGGTATATTAGTATACGTTAAATAAATGTTCATAACCAGTGTTTACGTTGTGAAATATAATCAACAAAAACAATGTTGTATCGTTGCTTTAACGGTGTAATTATTTTCCGAAATGTTTGCGTCTGGGTTTTTACTTGTTAAAATACTTATTACGTTGCGCGAGTGCTCGGCACATTTATAGTTAATATTTGGTATATCTGTCTTCTGGTTTCCATTGTACATGGCATGCAGCATGCGGCATATACGTTTATGCATGTTTCATCTTGTATCATATGTTATTTGTGAACATAACCTAAGATATAAATGATAAATCGGATGTATGGTACATTGAAGATATAGAGACAAGGTGACATTTGAATCACATGTTATATACTACATTTTGATTCAAATATTGCTACAGTACATGATTATTTCGAGATGATCATAAACACGCTCTTATTGCGTCAAATAAAGCCTTAGTCAATGTGTTCCCATCCTTCTCTTTTTAACACATCCCTATCTTCTCTGTTTTCCCTTTCCTTTATCTTCTCTTCCACTCCCCCCTCTCTTCTCTCCGCTTCTTCATATCTTCTCGTCCCCCTACATCTCTTCTCCCCATCACATTTATCAAGCATTTCTTTCCTCTAGTCCTTATATAGTCTTTATCACCATTTTTGTCTGTAACCATGCCTACCCTTCGTGAGTATTTTGATTACTATATAGAACCCTCTATTTCATGCGTCCAAAACTTGCCATACGTGGTCGTCTGCACGCTTCTTATACAATTGTTACACCTTGGACTTTTAGCTATTTCGGTCTTCCTCTATTTCCATTGCGGATAATCTGCCTCCATATGTTGTTCATAGTTCCAATAAGCTTCCTTGCTTCTATAGACACATCCTGGTAGTTTTACTACGAATTCGAGGCTTCGAAGTTGAGTTGATGAATGCTATACAATGTTTACAAAACATTTTTGTGTAATAGATATTTGTTACTAATATATCACTCGACCATATCGCAGTCTACAGGAATAGGTTGAAGTTATTAAAATGTAGATTATTTATAAAATTTGAAGTACAGAAATATTCAAAACGTTTGCTTTCAACGTTAAACAAATACCAGTATCCGGATCAAATATATTGAATACGGTGATATATTTTGTAGGTGATCACTCACTTGAGAAAAACATGGAGACGTCGAATTAGAGACAGATCATTTGGAGGATCCAAGCGACTCCACACATCCCTCAACCAGACTTTATCATTCAACACAGACACTCTAGATAGAAAGTCATCTGATAAACGGAACCGGAAAGAGAATTATCAAATGGACGACAAAGTGAATGGTGATATCGTGTCAAATGAAACGAGGGGAAATGACATCAGATACAATCCAGTTCCGGTCACTGACGAACAGTATTCACTGTCTGACACTAATCACGAGAAATGTATGCTGCATTGACCAGCAATTCGAAGTTACATCAGACTGGTCAACGTAGCGGACATACTGGCATTATAACCAAAAAGGCTATTGTCTACAACCAGGCTAAATTAATTGGTTATTTCGGTGTCGTGTTTTATACAAGAGTTGCCGTTTTACAGCCCTCTGTCGTGCTTAATAACCATGCATGTCTGACAGCCCGACGTGTACTGTTATCTCTAGCACTGCTCCATTGCTTCAGCAGACCTAATGTATATACATACCTACAACAAGGCATCGAGTCAGTAAAAATAATCTGGCAATTTCTCATGGTTTTTATCTTAATGCATTTTTAACTTATGTCATTTTGATTGACGAGTAAATAGACAAAAATCATGGCGTAGTTTTCATATTTATTTTTTTTAATTTTGTGAAAAAAGAACATTCACGTTTCAGCAGCAATCAATTCACTGTTTACTCGAGTCGGTAAAATTGTTCTTATAATAATATACTTTTTTATGTATTGAAACGGTGTTGGGTTTCTATATGCGGAATACCGTGTTAATAATTCAAGATACAACAATGTTCATCATATCGACGATATAATATCTTATTGTATCAGATAACGTGTCAACAGTAAACATATCGAAACTATATCACTGCCATGAGTTAACGAAAATTAACGAGTCTGAACACACAATATCTTAAATACGAAGCACAGATTTGGATATATTATTTCCATCTTTTCTTTAGATTTAGAGCCATACTTAAGTTGTTGATGGCATACATCTTATAGCTACCGGAAACAACTTAAAATTACCCGTTGTGGCGTTTCAATAAAAGTTTCCCTCCATTTATGAGATCTAGTTATAGTGTTTCCCGTTTCTTGTTTTAAATTAGCGTTGTTATATTTCGGACAATAAAAAAACGTGTAACATATTAATGCGAGTACAATAACATAAACAGAAGTATGATACAAAAATATTGCAGAACAACAACGAAAAATACTCAGACTTTCAGGATATATGTACTGTACAATCATCAATTTTCGTGGTGGAGTAATTTTCAACGATTTCGTGTGCACCCTTGATCCACGAATTGTCCACGAAAGGTTAAATAAGTAGATGTATCAGGCTATTTCTATCCACTACACCGGTTTCCATGAGAATATATTGTTTCGCAGAATAATATTTGTATATCCTACAAATATGGAAATGTATTGTCAGTATGCTGGACAGTACACTGGACGTGTCTTTTATATGTTGAGAAAAATATGGCTGTAATACATTTTTTATTACTTTTTAGCTGCTAAAATGTGACGTGTGCTGTATATTGCTTATTAGCACCGAAAATCATACTCAATTGTTTATAAATTTATTTGTTTCGGTTTCAGTGTCATATTATATGGATATCTACGTGTATACTTATGTGGCTCACACCTGATATTGTAAACAGTCAATGAAAAGTCCTTCATACGCTGCTATACTGATATAAATGTTCTCTTGGTTATCATATGTATTTTCTTAACTAAATTCGATATTTAGTATTTTGTGCCTCATCGGTCGTCTTTTGATTTCACCTAATTTTCTGAACACATGGTACTACTCCATGGGTAACAGTAATAGGAATGTCAAGGAAGATTGAAATGTTGGTCTGTATATGATGTATTATTTTCTTTTAATTTTTAAGAATAAACATAAATGACGAAGAAGGACTACTTCAGGTCATGTCTAGGCCCCCAACTCATGACTTACAAGTACCAAATAGTTACATCATTACAAGAAATACTGGAAAATTATATATAACATAATATGTGCATCTGGATCGCAATGTGTATCTACATGTTGATGAATTGTACAAATAGCTCACATCTATCACGGTACAAGTGCAGTAGATCTTTTAAATCTGAAACCGCCAGGTCACCATTTATCACGGCATATGATGCACTGTACTTGTTAGTTGGTAATTTAACATCAGAATACAACGGATGATGTAGAAAATCTTTGTCTTCTGCTCTCTTCTGATCAAAATATTAGTTCAAACCCCAAATAGAACTAAACTTCAAGGTCTTCATCATTAACGTGTAATTGTTTATGTTTACAATATATTTAATTGCTGCCATATTTGTTGTAAACCTTCTATTCCTCGGCGGTATTTTGTTCAGATGTAACGTAGTATCTTTTGGTGAGATTTTTTCTAAATACATCTAAGCAAATGAGTTGAACATTTAATGTCATTGCGACCTAAAAAGCTGTGAAATGTGATATCATTACTTTGTGTAGGTTGTAAGCAGTGTGTAACAGATAGAATCGTGCTTTAAACGTAGCCTACCGTGTTGTTTTCATTCAAGTTTGAACTAGAATGACTTTTTTGTTTGTTTCCCTTGTGAAAACAACGTGTCAAATCTACCAGAACCTTCAGACAAGACTAGGTCATGTTTATGTGTTTACCATCTTAATAGAATAAATTCATAATCTACGTGGTATGCTTAACAAAACGAGTCAATAAAGCACAGGAACTTGACGCACGCATAGGGAAGAATGCCCTCTCTAAGAAGTTCAGTTTCAACGTAAAATAAAAAAACACAATTATCACCAGTGAAGTTTTTACAAGCATGTACATACTCATGATGCTGCCAAAATCACAATTACCTTTTGTAAGAGAGTTATTACAAATGCAATCGCAAATTTCTAATCCATGAATAAATGCAAGACATGTGCATTTGATGTTTTTTTCACGTCCACATTGTGAACATTTAATTCGTGTATCATTCGCCCCGTGAAAATTAATAGCTTTACGTATTTTATTTCAAATATGTTGTTTTATTTCACTGAAAAGAAATATTGTAACGGTGTACATCAGTAAGTATATGTTCCTTATCACATGTTATTAGAAATGTTGACATATATACCGTTGTAGTATTGTGATACTCTCAATGTACAAAACCTGTTTATGCACATACGGTATTAATGTTGTCACACGAGTTAAATTCCTGCCGAAATAAAATTAAATGAAGATACTGCATCTATGTGTTTTGTTATAAAAAATTCTGAAGAGTAAAGAATTTATTGCATACTGCTGTCGTGGGTCACGTTTGCCTTAATTTCATCCCTTGTATCTCTCCACCACAACATCGTTTCTGATTTAAATTCATCTTTTATGCTATGGAAATGTAAAAATACATATCTAGATTATCAAAGTCGTGACCGAAAAAGAACTTCGTAATTGACAACAAAATCAACAAAATTCAGAAAAGACATTAAATTTTATATCCAACATGAGGTTTATCTATCGGAATACCGAGGTCAGGGGTTATATAATTAACAATGGTTCCTGGTAAGAAAAACATGCTATTGTGTCTTGTGGGCACTTCCATGTTTTCTACATTGAGAACAAACAATATCTCATTTCATGGTTTTGCAGAAAAGTCTTATCTAGAACTTTCATATAGTTTTGTCTTTGCATCTTCTAATGTTAAAGTGATTAAAGAAACAAACTTTGGTTGCTGACCAAGAATTTTTTATATCTTTATACATTAATTTATTTTCTCTCTGGTTTTGTCCTGCTCCTTTGGCAAGTGTAAAAGTGCCAATCTGCATACACTTCCTCCTAATAATCATTAGTTCAAAGAACCTTTTCATCCAAATCCCCGTCCTCCCTCAAAGGAACCAGGCAATAGTGACAACTTGCCTTGTGTTTACATTGTGGCCTCTCGACGTTAGATGCTCAATCTTCATTGTGTAAATTCTGTTAGTTTTAATTGTGATAATTTTCACGAGTAATCCAAAAGTTTGAATAAAAAGGATCCATGTCTTTAAAGAGATTATTTACTGGACCACAGCTGTGTATTTATTCCTTTTCAGGTGAGCATTTTCTCGCAATTTTATTCTTTTTACAAGCAAAGTAAAAAAAATAGAACCTCTTGAAATGAATTATTTAGGGTATGCAAATAACAGATATACATTTGTACTTCAAAACCGTTGTCGTGAAAGTTGAAGGTAAATTCAGGAATGAAAACTTCCAACGTAGGAAATCTGTTGCGCTATACCTCCGAGCAAATGCACATTGATATATAGCCGGAAGGGGCGGGGTTTGCTAGACCATATGTGACTTCAGTATCATTTGAATAAAATTATACTGAAGGTTTTACAAATACGGAAGTTAAAATGCAAACTGGGAGAGAACCCATCTGGTAGCTTCATTTATTAACAAATAACAATACAACATGACGGATTCTGAATTCTAGAGAAGATAGCATTGCCTTTTGTCTATTCCCGATTACTTGGTCTTTTTGATATGCCGATAAACCCCAAGCAATCCACTATTCAATACTATGAGCACAAAAGAGCTTTTGGTCACGATCCAAAACCTCTCTTTGAAAGTTCCATTTTAATTACATTTTACTAAACCCCTCAAGTTATCATGATAGCTTTCAGAGAGAATGTCTTCCTTCTCTTGTTATATGGGTTTCCTTTCCAAGAGAAGTGAACGGCAGTACAATTAGTTATGAACTATACTTTAGCACATTTCGTTAAAAATACTTCCGCACAACAAAAGAGATATACCAAAAACGAAATCATTGATATAATTGAATTTCCAGCTGATTTTCGTCAAGTTTTATGACCATTTCCATCGTATATACCCAAGGAAATCAACAACTCGACAGACTCGTCTACATCAGCAGCTTATCTTGATCTTTTCCTACACTAGAACCAACATGGAAAGCTTTTCATGAAGCTACAATAAACGTCATGACTTCTATTCTATATTCTAAAGCCAAATGTCGACAACTGACAAACTCAAAGCACAGGTTTTGAAAGATGGACATTTATGAAGATTATGAGAAATTTTCGGTTGTCAAAAAGATCTCTTTGGAAAAAGTTTTATTTCTTTAGTTTGCCTTGTGGTTCAACATTGTTGTAAACCATTTTGTCGTCAAAGACTTTTGATATTTCATTCTATGGATTTTAATTTTCCTTGGTCACCTATATTTACCTAGTTCTTAGATAGGGCAACATTCACACTAATGTTTACACAGAACA